AACCTCAGCTCATCAGCTACTTCTAGGGCCGACCAATTCTTCACTACTGGTGGTAGTCTTATAAAAATCAGGACGACTATGAGCAAAATGGAAATCAAAATATGTACACAGGCTATACACACCTCATTATTTTTACTGCACAAACTTTGAAGAAGAAATAATTTGACAATCACAACAAGTATCTCTTGTTTTTTACACTAACTCAAACCTTGCATAACCTCATGAGGAACAGATGCATAACATACAGAAAGTAAAGAAACAGACATCTAGTATAACAAAAGAACAACAAATATATAATTTTGAATAAGAAAACAAAACTGTTAATCACAAAGAACAACAATTTTCACCAACAACAGTCAACACGTTCATAAGTAGAGAGCCCGGTCAACTGTCTACAACAGAAGCATACCTCCCCAAACTATTTTATTGATTTATTTACTCCTTTCAACAAAACTCAGATCATTTCAGAGATAGGCTGCCTCAGAACTGCTCATCCTTTAAAAATGCAGGTGTCTGGGAAAATGGTATGGTTTAATGCCTGTATCAACACTATTAGGTTATTTAAGAGGTGGGCATTCTTTGCCATATCGACAGACCGAAGGGCTAGAACCCAAGAACCCAAATGGCCGCTGGATCGGAAAAGTAAAGTAAAGTAAGAGGCGGGCAGGTGTCTGTATGCTCTCGACACAATTTAGACAGATCATTAACCCTATCCGTACGTCATGTTTTACTACTGTATCCATACGTCGTGGGGAACTCTGTGCAACCACTTCCAAAGAGGAAATTTACTCTTTATCCGATCCGTACGCTTTGAGTCTGTCAAAATGATTTTTTGAGAAATACTGAAAGTTTCAGAGATCTTCGTACTAGAAGTATTCTAAAAAGTGAAGAATACAACCCCGGGGGTACAAAATGACTTGAGGGCGTACGGATAGGGTAAATGAGGCAAACTTCCAATCCTGCCTATCAGGACCAACCGGGGCTGAGAGTGATACAACATCCATATCAGACAGAATGATATGTTCTATATAAATTTCTCCCCAAATAAGGAATTGAGCTGGGGTCTCCTGCGTGCGACAGCGCAGTGCCTAACCGCCACTCTACACCACAGCCAATGGTCCGTTGTAGTTCAAACCTTCTCCTCTCATCAACAGTGACAAAAATACAAAATCCATGAGATCACATTATTTCTCTGAGTGAGGGCACGGAGGGAAAAAAGGAAAATTATAACACGTACAATGTACACATTAGATCTATACATACATAAATACACACAGGGTTATGTAAAACATCAAAGTTTGCGAGCCAACAACGCATCAACTGACAAAGTTTACAAGAACGGAACCAACCTACAGGAAAGATATATAGAAAGTCTACTAGTGTCAATTCAAACTACCCTCCTGCACATCTGTCAAGCACTGCACACCTCGTGACCTCTGTGCTTTCTTGTCCTAGCGCCATTAAAAAAAACTTAAACATTGAAGATGAGACTTCTTCTGAAGCTCACTCTTTGTAATGAACTGTTTTCACTGTTGTTATTAAAAATGGAGGTAGGACAAGAAAGCACTGAGGTCGCGACCTGTCAAGCACTCTGCACTGGTCTCGCCTTACACCTGCCCATCTGTCTAGCCCTACACTTTGTTGCGATCATTGCTGACCCGAAGAATTCTCTCCGCCCTCTGCCTATGGGAGGACCGATTGTGCGGGTGATTTCTCCAAGTCTATACCCAAGGAGGGTTCCGATTGTCAAGCACTATCCCACTACTATAAATAAATAATTGAATATTCTACTCCCCAATACAAAAGCACAAGTTGTAAAACTGTTTGCCACACAACCTTGGATGGAACATTCCGCACAGCGCCCTCAGCACCTGTCAGATCACAGGACATAGATCGGGGGGACTACAGGGACCCACCAACTGACGACAGTGTAATGCCACACAGAGTCGTAGCAAATTATGACTAGGGATTAACCAGAAAAAAAAAAAAGCTGACAGATCAAAATTAGATGCCATCATTGACAAAGGTGGTGCTAGATTTAAAGATAATCTTTGTTTACTTAATACGAAAAAAACTTAAAACATAAATTTAAGTTTCCATTTTATGGTTGACAAGTCACTGAAAAGAACAAGCAAGCATCAATTTGACTCTATAAAAACTAAAAAATACGAATGTAGGAGAAATTTCCCTCAACTCAGTAGTCTTATCCAATCAACTGTGATCATTGAAGGATCCAGCACTTTTCTCTCAAATCTTTGATGTATCAATGACTAGCATGTGACCGTTGTACCGGGCTGACAACTTCCGTCACCAAAATGGCCCATCAAGCCTTCAACTCCCGTTCCAGGAGGAGCAAAATATTCCTTCCCATCTTCAAACGCCTGAACCAGTTGACGACCTCCCTTACGAGACAAATGCGCTGTAAAACAAGCACGGCAACCGCGGCTCTCAAACAAACAGCCAAACAGGCGACAACATGCGAGGAACCACTGGGAGGTGACTGGGGGAAAAAACCCCCACCTAAACAACAACAATAATATTAATATCTTTCACGGTTTGAGCTCACTTGTTTCCTTTCTCTCAAAAAACCCACACAGCTCTTACCCAACAAACCAACGTTACCCCAAGCACCACGCAGTCATAGAGACAGTCCTGTTTCCACACGCGCACATCAACTTCTATGCCAGCCAACCATCTCAAAATCAGCACAAAACCAATTTCTTATTATCGGTATGTAAAAAAATAATTGAATGAGAACTTCAGTGCTGACTGATGGAAGTCCTACTGGATTTGGCGAACAGCATAGACTGCTTAAACCAAAAACGATGGGACCGCAGGAATTTTCTTTGGTTTAGCCGGGTTTTCTGTTTAGAGAGGAGGCCCAAACAGAAGGGGGGAAAAAAAAAGAGATTTTATTAACTTTCGGTTCACCAATGTTTTTGGATAAACCGTGTTTGGTTTAACACTTTAAGCAGACTCCATTGTAATTCTTTTTCTGAGCATTATAGATATGAATAAGTACATGGACCAAGGAAATATAGTCACACTCTTCTTCAGAAACACACAACACACATCAGACGAGAGTCTAGACCTAGGCCAGTCCATTCACAAACCCATCCGTCACCTCCCCGACACATCCTTCTCCTGGCTCCACACAGCCTGGCAGAAACTAATGGCACTTGGACACAGTAAGTACTAATCTTTTTCTTTTTTTCTTAGTAGTAAAGCACTTTTTGCAACCTCTGTAGACTTTTTTAAAAGTCATAAAAACAACAACCAAAAAAACCAAAAAAAACAGGCACAAAAAGAGGAATCGTTGAGCCTCCATCAATCCATACATTATTCACAAAATATCACACCCCCCCC